ACCACCAGGAGAGGGCCTGGGTGAGGTTAGATCAGTGTGGGCTTGGACTACCAGATGAAGCCCAGAGATCCCTGGGTGGCCTTCAGACAAATAAGATGCCCTTGACTTCATCATCCTGCCTGCCACCAACTCAGACTAGGAAACGCAGATGACGAGGATACATCAGCAGACGGTCATTGCTGCCAGGTCTGTAAGGGGCCTTTTGCACAATGACAAGTCCAGGAAGTAATGGCTATGATGACCTCTGCTTTCGAGATAAGAAGACTGGGAAACAGATAGGTTAGGGAGTTGGCCAGGGTCACAGCGCACGCACAGGGCAGAGCTGGAAGTTCACCCCAAGTAGACCAGTTCCTCATTCCAAATACACACTGCACGGCCTACTAGTGCGGGCTGAATACCCTTCAGTACCTGAGTGTTGAAATCTAGTCATAAATGTGACTGTCTAAAAGGTGGGGCCTTTAGTATGTGATTAAGCCATGAGGATGGAGTCCTCAGAAAATGGATTAGCCACCTTATAAAAGGGCTGGTAGCAACTCCCTAGCCCCTGCTGGTCCTCCTTCTTTTCTGTCTCTATTTTCCTTGTGTGATGCCTGCCATTCACCCTTTGAAACGTGTTCCAATCCCCTGAACCCCTGTACCTCTGCACCCCCCACTTCCCAGTGCAGTCCCTGGGGCTGAGTGCAATTTGTTTTAAACGGTGTAATAGAATGTCAAGCATCAACTCTGAAGCCCCAGAACCTGGCCGGAGCCTGGCTCTGTGCAAGGCCCCCAGACTGTTAAGAGTGCTGCACCTTGGAATGCTCCCTTGCCTGGGAAAGCGTCTGAGTGGTGTCAAAATCGTGCTCCCTCGAGCTGGGCAAGCATCCTCACACCACCCCCGCCCCCACAAAGCTACCACGGTGTGGGTGGGTGGATGGCCCAGCCTGCCTGAGGAGCCAGGGGGCCTAGGTGGCCACTAAAATAAACCACTGGACTGAGCCCCACTTTTCAAGACCCACCATAAACTCACATGATGAGGACCCTAAATCCAGGGACCGTTAGAAACTTACTAAAGGTCCAGGTCACACAGCTCCTCGGCACCAGAGTTGAAAAGACTACACTTCCCGTCTCACAATGGCTACTAGCAAGACCTTTCCAGGCCTTTCTGTAGGCCAGGTACTTTCCATAATTATGTGATTAAAATACAGTCCACACATGTGTAAGTGCATCGTGAAAGGTACAGCTTTCGTGATGTACTGCTTCTCCAGATAAGCATAGTTATGTGCCCACAGCAGCGGCATTCACGTCTAGCCCTAGAGTGCATGCCACTGTGGTTGTGTGTGTGTGTGTGTGTGTGTGTGTGTGTGTAGTGTATGTGTGTGTGTGCATGTGTGTGTGTGTGTGTGTGTGTGTGGTGTATGTGTGGGTGTGTGGTATATGTGTGTGTGTGCGTGTGTGTGTGGTGTATGTGTGGATGTGTGGTATATGTGTGTGTGTGGTGTATGTGTGGGTGTGTGGTATATGTGTGGTGTGTGTGTGTGTGTGTGTGTGTGTGTGTGTGTGGTGTATGTGTGTGTGTGTGTGGTGTGTGTGTGTGATGTATATATCACAGATACATACATGTGTGTGAAGGCTGGCGTCTTTTTTAACTGTTCTTCACTCTCTTGAGACAGAGTCTCACTAAGCCTGCTCATCAGTCAGGCGTCTCCTGTCTCGACGTCCCCAGCACTAGGATCACAGGTGTGCACTACAACACCCAGCTTTTTAGGGAGACACTAAGAATCCAAACTCAGGTCCAGATGTTTGCCCAGCAAACCCCTAACCGAAGACTAAGCCATCTCCCCAGCCCACTGCAGCCCTGATTTAAAAGTGAAAGGACTCTAGTTCAGAGGTTGCTGGGACCTAAGGGTCGGAGGAAAAGGAGAGTTGGATCCTGCCTTCAGGGGCCCTCCCCAACCCCACCATGTGCCCCTAAAAATGCAGCGGTTGCAGAGTGGGAAAACAGAACCAGATGTGACAAATCTTACACGTGTGGCCACTTCTGCACAGACCTTGACTCACAGAGGCACCGAAGGCAGAGGGGGGCACTGTACAACCAGTCCCTCACCAGCCCGGCACATGGCCTTGAGGCCCAGGACTCAGCTGATAGTCTGGGTTCTGAGTAGATCCAGTGAGGACAGAGCCCTGACCAAGAAGCAAAGACACCCCCCCATTCTGAATCCTGCAGCCCCTCCAGCACCCACAAAGAATTGGCCTCTACCCAATCCCATGTTCCTCCAGATACAGAGCATCGGTAGCCATGATGAGCAACACATTGGGTCACTTGCAGTCACCTGGAATCATTCCCAATCTTGACCCTTGGGCTTAAAAGTGTCCCAGGCTGTCAGCTCCTGAGGAAGCACTTCCCAGGAGGCACGCTGAGCCTTCTACACCCCTTGTTTGCTACCCAAACACTCTTAGGCCTTCCTCAGTCAGTCCTTTACTCTGCTATCAAGAGCCCAGCACATGCACTCCTGTTGGTGATGTTTGGACAGTTCTGAAGCAATGGTACCTCCTCTCCTAAGCCCTGTTCAGCTCAGCCTTAGTGTTTCATGACCCAGGCAGGGCAGGCCTGGCTGGGGTGTTCAAAGCCAGACTCTGGAAACCCATAGTGGAATCCTCCCCACCCTTAATTGGAGCACAAAACCAGAACTGTGCAAGGCCTGGGATGGACTGAAGATTCAGAGGAGAGTAAGACCCATCCTGAGTTTGACCCTCCAGATCTAACACTCCTTTTGTTGTAGGAAAAGCCCTCTGTGTGGACAGACCCACAGCCAACTTCATTGCTGTTGTGAAAAGACCATCTAAGCAGGGGCCATCCTCATTTGACCTGTGACCTACACCAGAGGCAGTGACCCTCATCACCCACTCTACCATCTGGCCCATTGGGCACCTGGGATACAATATATCATGCACTGTAGGCAATTCATGCATGTCGTTGGGGATGGACACAGCAAATAAATAAAGGTAATTTTAAAAAATTAAGTGTAAATCCTAGACACGGAAAACAGCTTCTCCAAGGTGGCATAGCTAAGGAGAATATTTACACAGAAGCCACAGCAATCAGCAACACCATCCCAGGCATGTTCAACTCCAGGCCCTACCATCCACCAGCCCCAGCCACCAGGCACACATGTCATCAAGCACACTGCACCATGTGGCCATGTAAGACACACCCCACTAGATCCTATGTCAGGGCCACATGGCCCTGGCCCCTGCAAATAACCACTTGTCAGCAGACTGATGAACTGGTTCAATGACAAGGACAGTTCTCAAAGAGGTCTGAATGGTGCTGCTCACCCCCTTCATACCTTAGTTGAGGCCCAAAATGCACAGACGGAGCATCTCCCCATGCCTCAATCCAGGTGAGCAGACAGACAACTCAGTACCCACTATTATCTGGTGGGCAAGCTCCCACATCTCCCACTGACCCCTACAACCCAAGTTTCTCAAAATCAACCTATGGATAATCTCACCCCAGATCACTTGGAGAGTCTGGTCGACAATACAGATCCTGGGTCCCACCCTGGAGGGGGAGACACTATATCTCTGAAGACAGGGCGTTCAACTCCCCATCCTGTTGGTGACCCTATTGCCTATGGTAGCATGAAAATTGTTTGGAGAAAGGGGGAAAAAAGTAGTCAAAGCCCAGAGGTTAGGAGGACGGCTCAGTGAGAAAGTGTTTACTATGTAAGCAGGAGGGCCGACGTTCTGATCCCCGGTACCTATGTGAAAGTCAGGTGTGGCGGTACCCCTGAATCCCAGGGCTTCACTGCTCAGCCAGCCGGTGACCATACACACTACTTGTGCATATGTGGGGTGTGTGTGTTTGTGTGGAAAGAGAGAGAGAGAGAGAGAGAGAGAGAGAGAGAGAGAGAGAGAGAGAGAGGGAGAGAGAGAGAGAGGGAGAGAGGGAGAGAGAGAGAGAGAGAGAGAGAGAGAGAGAGAGAGAGAACAGTAAGAGTACAGAGTATCCCCACCATCTGGGGAATGAGGGACCATGCGGAATAGTCCATGAAAAGCAGGGAGCTTAGAGAGGAGACATGGGGAAAAGAAGAAAGATGTGTCATGTGACACAGCCACAGGGTGACTCCTGCTGTCTGATCCTGGCTGGGAAGCGAGGTCACATAGTCCTAGTATCACATCAGTTTAGTAAGGGGCAGGGTTGCATCCCCAGCATCTAGAACAGGAACTATGTACAGACTAGGTAAACAAAGCCCGCTGGGGTGTAGGGGCTCCAGTCTGTAATCTCAGTGCCAAGCAGCAGAGACGGGGGCGGGGGGAGGAGTGTCTCAAGCTGGAGGGCTACGTGGCAAGACCTTGTCTCAATTAAGTAAATAAATAAGTAGGTCCCCATTTTAAGCATGAGGAAAGAAGCATAGAAAGATCAGCTCATCCGAATCTGCACAGCTTTCCAGTGCAGCCACCGGTACACCCTACAACAGTCGTTCTCAACCTTCCTAAGCTGTGACCCTTTAACACAGTTCCTCACGTTGTGGTGACCCCCTGCCCCGCAACCATAAAATTATTTTCATTTCATTACTTTATAAGTGTAATTTTGCTACTGTTATGAATCATAATTTAAATACCTGATATGCAGATAGTCTTAGGTGACCCCTGTGGAAAGGGTCATCCCACCCCCAAAGAGGTCACCATCCACAGGTTGAGAACCACTGCCCTAGACCATGCCTTCCTAGCCCTGTTTTATTCTGGGTCCAGAGATCCCAGGAGGCGGCTTATTGGTAGTTTCCTGGTGAATAAAAGCATTAGAAAGGTACTATCCCACTATGGCCACCTCAGACTTGGCAGAGCCTGGCATCCAGTAAGAGAATGACAATGTCCGTCTGAAGGACAGTCAGGCCACTAACATGTGGCATGGTGTACCATGTCCTTGGGAACCCCAAACCTATGGGGGTGGGGCGGGGACCGAGGGCTGTAAAAGGAACTGGATGCTGGACAGGAGGGAAGACCTTGTCCCTTACCAATCCATCACAGTTGCTGATGGCAACAGCTGCCCCAGGCATTCCGGTGACACCTCCAGTGTACACACACTCCCGCTGCAAGGGTTGCCGGAAGAGTTCCCGAAAGTCCTCTTGCCATTCCACGGGGGCCCCTGGGGCCACCAACCTCCGGTTGGGCTGCAGGCTCAGGTGAAGCAGCTTCCCAAAGACAGTCACATTGAAATAGAGGAAGTGGTGCCTTGGACCACCAGGCCGCAGGGTCTCTCTTTCCAGTCTCGGGGGGCTGCGAACCACCCGGAGGTGGCCATGTGAAGAGGGTGCCGTGGGGGCAGAAACCACATGGGACAAGAAGCGTCCCCGAAAATCCGTGCTGCAGGGCACAGTCACGACATAGTCACGGAGTTTCCCAGAGAGGTGCAGGTCTGTTGGAGGTAAACACAGAGTCACTTCACTGCACAAAGGTAAGAGGAATCTGGGCATCCCCTGTGGGGAGGTGGGGGAGATGGACAGGCAGCCCTGAGCATCACTCATCACAGATCCCTTAGCCCAAGTTCATTCATTATCTCCCCATTGCTTCCTAAGCCTGCACAGTCAACCTGTACCCAGTCGAATGGCATCCAGGTAGACATAAATTTGTGGACGTCCATTCTCTCCGTCGCTGTCCGGTCTTTTTTTATATTTAGCAGACGTAAACAAATGATGTCAAACAGAGTCCCGTCACCATAGCAACAAGCCTGCCAACCTTGAGCACTGCTTAGGAAGGGCTGAAATTCCAGATCTGCCTCAACTCCCCCACTGTACTGAAGTCACCAGCCTGGGGCAGGGGCCTTGCCAAGCTCCCAAGAAGGCAGCTGCCAAAATAAACACACCTAGGAACCCGGGGGATCCTGGCCCTTGACACGGAGGAAGGAGGGGCTGGGGAAGGGAGCGAGGGAATGCACCGTTATATATTTTTCCGAGGTTAGAAAGGAAACTTTTTAAAGCAGCAGAGTGGCTGTGAGACTTCTCCACTGCCCAGCCCCAAGCAGGATAAATATAGAGCTTCAAAAATAAAGAGAGACACAGGGGGTGACCTGCCCACTTGGGCTGACTGAAGTGTGAGGTCATGGCCCCATGCTGCAGGCCATTTGCCAGTCAGTGGGCCCCATCCTCACACAGCTCTATCCCTGTGCAGAGCCAGGCAGGAATGACAGCTCACTGGCTCCCAGGCCCGGTGATTCATGGATACAAGTTGGAAGGAATTTCCACTTCTCCATAATCCTATCCCTCGCCTCCCCAGCTCACAGCACTGATCAAACACACCCAGGAGACGGATGCGCCTTTCAAATCCCCCAGGCAATTTCATGTGAGGATTTGTGCCCCTTTATCTTTTAGCTGTGATAGCAACGGAACCCAAGAATGTGCAAAAGGGGGCCCACTTGGGCACATGAACCCTGCCTGGAAATGACCACCTTTTCTGTACGCCCAAAAGCCCCCGAAGGGTACCCAGGCTGTAAGATGTATGTGGTGTGTCTCTGGTCTATGCCGGGGAGACGATCTGCAGTGTCTGGGGATGCTTTGTGGGGGGCTTGGAGGGAAATAGAGGAAGAACCTCTTTTTTGGTCAGAAGCAACAGTGCTCACGATTTTCTGCTATGGGAAGCAGTCACCTGCTAGCCTGATTCCGTGTGGGACAACCAGACATGCACATTCAGACACACACATGCACACAATTCCACAAGTGCCACCCAAGTTAGAGACAAGGCATTAAAAGATCAAGAGAAGTGGAGGGAGAGAAGGGGAAGGTGGGCTCACTGTGACTCTTTCTCACCGGGAGAGACTCATGTTCCCAGTCCCCTCCAGTGACGGAAAGGGACAGAAATCACTACAAGCAGCCAAAGCCAAGTAACTCAAGCCTGCACCAGGCACGCCGCCTTCCACCCCTCTCGAACCCTGCCAGGCTGGCTCCTGCATCCTGGGGCCACTCTGGCCGCTCGCACCCCCAGAGACCCCACGTCCCCGCGCGACCGGCCCGCACGCACCTGGGGTCTGACTGCCCGCGGCGGCGCAGAGCGTGCAGTACCAGGGCAGCAGGCAGGGCAGCAGCGCGCAGAGCCGAGCCATGTGGCCGCGCGGGGACGGGGACGGGCAGGCACCCGAGTCCCCGGACTGCCGGATCGCAGACCAGCCGGCAGCCTCCGCCTCCTGCCGGCCCGCTCCCGGCTACCCCACCCGGCACGGCGCCCGCACTGCTGGCTCCAGCTGCAGCCGCTCTGGCCGCCCGCGCTGTCCCGAGCCGCCCGCCCGCCCGCCCGGACTCGGCGAGACCGGCTAGGGGCGCGCGGGGCGGGTACACGGGCAGGGCGGGCCGCGAGGCTCGGGCGGGGGGCGCGGGCGCTGGGGGCGGGGGCGGGCCTGGCGAGCCACGGCGTGCGGCCCGGATCGGAAGTGCCACGCGGAGCCCGCGCGGGGGCTCCTGGCGCACGGGGCGATCGTCCCTTCAGACGCCAGAGCTTTCCGGAGCGAGGGCCTGAACAGCTTCCCATGGCCGCTCCGCCCCCCTTTGCCGGCTCTGTGACTGCTCCAGAGCCATCGCTCTTAGGGGGGTCCCACCGCATTTTGAGGGTGAGGATGAAGAGCCCCCTGAGCAGGATGCCCTGCTAGCTCCTGACCCCTCAGATCTTCCCACTCTGCAGATGACAGCGCCATGGACCCTAGAGTACTTCCGCTGTCCTGTGTCCTAATCAAGAGCAGGGCACAGGAAGGTGAAAAAGAGAGGGACCCTTCAGGGCCATACAGCCCGACTGCCCAGAAGGAAATCGCAGCGCTGAGCCCAGTTTCCTCACCTGTGCCTTAACTGTTAACCACAGCACACAAAAGACACACAATAAACGATGAGTGCCCAGCATGTCCACCCCGGGCACAGGACCGCACACGGTAGCCTGCAGCGCAAAGAGCAGAGCGTGTGTGTCGCAGGCACAGCAGATGCTGGCTTAGCGGCGACTTGTTGAGACCAGTTCCACAGTCAGGGCCCACAGCCCAGCAGAGAAGCCCATGCTCTTGCTTCACTTTACAAGTGTGTTCGTAATCGTATGAAATTAGACGATAATTCAAACGACTCACAGGTGGAGACTTAGAGACAGGAGGACCCGGCTGGCTTCGCTATTTTTACTGTTTTCTTGTTGTGTTTAGCTATGGCTATGGCTTTGAAATGATGCTGAGGTTTGGGGAGGCCAGCTCATTCCTGAAGTCAGCTCAGAGGGCTGAAACCCATTATATTTCAAGAGACACTGAAGCACTCAGTTATAAACCGCACCAACCACCACATGAAAAGAATGTGCATTGTTTCTTTCTCTTTAAGACCAGTGAGGTCAAGACAGGGCAAGGGGGCTATGTGTGAAGCTGATGAGGCAGGAAGTGGGGCAGGGTTGAAGGAGGGTCAAAGAGATGACCAGGCTATAGACTGCAAAGGTTCAGCTCCAGATCTCTACTAAACGATTCTAAGAGAATGGCTTGCCTTCCCAGGGCCTCAGTCTTCCAAGCTGTAAAGTGGGGGCAGATGGAACAAAGTGACCTAAGGATCGTTCGCTTGGCTCCCTATGGGAGAAGCCATCCCAGAGAAGACTCCTTTGGAAAGCTCAAGCACCGTGGTCCCACTCAACCGCCTCTTTCCTGGCCCCCCAGCAGAGCAAAAGTCAAGAGGTACAGGACTGCAGCTGCGGCCCCAAAGTCTGAGTCATGAGCTGTGGGCCGGGGCCTTCCCTGGAGCCAGCTTTGGCAAAGAGAAATCAAAACCTCATCGTACTTCTCTGCCCCCACCCCCTTTCCCTAAGGCTACAATGGTTGCTTGTGTTGGCCAAGGATTATGTGACCAGGCCCTTTTCCACTGAGAAAGGCTTTGTTAGGGAGAGGGCAATGGGGACAAAAGGCGAGGAAGCGGCCGGGTAGCCTTCCTTCTGCACACGGACAGGGCCATGTGAAGAAACCCTCTGCTGTAGCCTGGAGACCCTCCTCCGAAGGCAAGTTCTGGGTTTCCCAAGCTGATGCCTCGGGACTTTGTGCAGGGGAGAGCGGCTTGGTGGGGAGGGTGGGGGGCCCTCTCTGGGCAGTGGCCTCCCCACACTTATCCAGTGCTCAGTGCAAGGTTCCGGGGGGGAAGATGCTAGAAGGTGTCATTTGTCACCAGGGACCAGTCAGAAGAGATGGCTCACGTTCCGGTAAGCTTTGAGCCAGGTGAGCGAAGGCTGGAGAAATGCCAGTGGACAGAAGAGCAGGGTGGCTAGCAAGGACATGGGGATATCTGGGAAGAGGAGGGACCTGGGGAAGATAGGGAAGCCTGATGAAGTGAAGGACGCGTCCTGGCTGGGAGCGGGACCGTGCACAGAGAGGAGGTGGACCAACCTGCCTGGAGTGAGTGCCCCACACGGAAGGAAGGCGGCATTAGCTAGATGCCAAGATCCAGTCACCCAGAAGGGGAGAGGAAGTGGGTAGTGGTGTGGTTCTGAGAGGTTACACTGAAGCCAGTGTGAGGAAGAGCCACTGAGTGGACTGAAGATGTGCTCGACCTCCAGCCTGAGCTCCTCCGAGCACCCAAAATCCCAGAGGTTAGGGTCTACAGGGGCCAGTCTCCAGCTCAATAATTCCCCTCTATTTTTACCGCTAGACAACTGAGGGCCCCGTGCCTCCACTGTGGAAAAAAGAGCCTCCGCCAAGCACCACTTCCTTCCCTCCTGCTTGTGGTCCAGGGTGACGCTTAGGTGTCTGTCTCAAGGTTGAGATGCAACATGTCTTTGCCTTAGGGAGTGCCTGATGGCCCCCAAGGGTGTGAGTTTGAGAAAAGAGGCAATGTTGTCACAGAATATGTCCAGCAGGTGGCTGCGGTTTGCTGAGTGTCAGCTGCTATTACAGACATGACATGTGTCATGACCACCCGGAGGAGGTGAAAACCCAAAACACAGAAAGAGGGTTCTCATCTTAAAATCCTTAACACAACCAGTGGCCCTGAAATTCTCAAGAGGGCGAGAGAGTCCCTCCCACCAGGGCTCAATGCAAACTGCCACTATCCACCTAGGCAATTAGGACACCGGGCAGCTGGGGTCCCAGGTCGCCTCTACATTCACGGAGCAGACTCTAAAAATCTCCCAAATACGATGTCTTCTTTCTAAGACACACTCATACCCACAGCACCCAGACCACAGCACTCTTTTCCTGAACAGCACCATGCTGTGTTTCTCACCGATCTCCTCTCTGGTCCCTGGAATCTTCTCCAGCTATATCCAGAAGAGATAGCCCCTCACATCTCATGGCTCTCTCTGCTGTCAGACTTCCAAAGCCTTCGCCAGTCCTAAGATAAAGGCCAGACCCTTTGTTCGGCATCCTCCTGCCTCCACAGCCCTCCAGCCTAGCTCCCTGCAGGCACCATGCTCTTCCAGCCTCAGGACCTCTGCAAGGCTCCTCCCTATGCTCTGGGGGATCTACCTTCTTTCTTCTAGCCAGTTCTGGCTGCCTTCTGATGCCGTCTCGTGTGATTTTGAGATCAGCAGCATCTTCCATAGGAAGTGGGGACCTGGAAGGGCTTTTTAAGCTCCTGTGTCCTCAGTCCCCATAGTGGACACATAGTAGGCCCTCACAAATACTAAATAAACAAATGAATGGGAGTCAATGAAGGATTCATCCGTGGAGACTCTGAGGGTTCAGGTGTTTCCCAGAACAATCAATCATTCCAGGGGAAAACTCTGAGTCTACCCTGAAGGTCTCCGGGCTCCACACTGGGACAGGGATGGGGAAGAAGAGAGATCTTCCTGGCTTCCTAATCTTAAAAGATGTTGAAAATAGAAGTAGTCATCAGAGCTAACACTTGACAAGCCTTCCTCCATCTCTTAACAGGTCAGGCAGCTCAGACCAGAACCTACAGCTGGCAAACATCCACGCCCAGGTAGTGTCCCATGTGCCAGGCTTGCAAGCACACTCTCCCCCGTAAGACGTGGCCTCTCTGTGTTCCTTTTTAGTTTTCAAAATAGTTGTGCTGACTAGACTGATGTCAAATTGACACAAACTAGAGTCATCCGAGAGGAGGGAACCTTGACTAAGAAAATGCCTCCGTAAGATCGGGCTGCAGGCAAGCCTGTAGAGCATTTTCTTAATTAGTGATCAATGGGGAGAGCCCAGGCCATTGTGAGTGGGACCATCCCTGGGCTGGTGGTCCTGGGTTCTACAAGAAAGCAGCCTGAGCAAGCCGATAGGGAGCAAGCCAGTAAGCAGCACCCCACCATGTCCTCTGCTTCAGCTCCTGCCTCCAGGTTCCTGCCTTGCTTGAGTTCCTGTCTTGGCTTCCTTCAGTGATGGAGCCAAATAACTCTCCCCACCCACCCCAAGTTGCTTGGGGCACATTGTTTCATTACAGCAGCAGTAACCCTAATGAAGACAATAATATATACAGAAAAGTGTCAATTGCTTCTTTTACAGGGGGCACACATTGAGGCCCAGAAGAGGGCAGGTAACTTTTCAAGACCACACAGTGAGGTCACTCAGAGCATCTATCCCTCTAAGTCTCTGGGCTCCCTGTCCAGTGGCTTTCGAGCATCCTCCTGCCCCACTGGGCTGAGATTGTAGCTCGGGAGTAGACTGCTTAGCATTCGTGAGAGCCTGGTCCAGTGCCCAGCACTACAGAAAAATTTAACACACCAAACACAATGTGAGTCCTCAGCTCCTACCCAGGACCACTTTGAGCCACTTATGGTTGATTCAGCCGAAGTGAAGAGAGTGAAGGGTTGGAGATTTCTCCTCCCTCTCCCCGAGAGCCAGGGTCTTACAGGGGTTAAAGCCAGTGGTTGTCAAATAAGGAACCTTACTGGCAGAATCAGCACGCTCCTGTGCTTGGTTAGAATACAGATTCTCAGGCCCCACCCTAGACCTGCTGGATCAGAAACTGAGAGAGTGGGCCCAGCCGCTAGTGCCCTATGGGAGATTCTGATATTTGCTCAAATTTAAGGATTACAGCTCTACTAAACAAGGCCTTAGAAATTGGGGCCAATGAGGACCAAGAATAAACGCAGTCTTGTGACCTGCTGCCACTCATCCTGGCTGCCGGACCTCAGCCATCCCAATCTCCAAGGCCTGGCCTGGAGCACAGCTGAGCCCCAGAGGCCCCAGGCAGAACTCCGTGAGCATCCAGAGGACACAGAGAGAATCGTGCCTTGTGGCCTTTTTCCACATCCTCCTCCTTGTTCTCCCCAGCGTTTCCTCCGCACATTTTTGGCAACTGTCTAATGTCCGTATCTAGGAGACCCGGCTGGGTTCAGCTAACCACAGTGACTTGTCTTGCATTACAGAACGGAGGACATCCCCCCAGAGCAGCTGGGCCATGAGGTCAGTTAGAAACAACGCTGTTTGCTCCCTGTGTGTAATCGTTGCGTGGCGCGGTTTCTCCGTGTTGAGGGGCTCAGCGAAAGGAAGTCTCCTTGTCCCCGTGGGCGGGAGGCCAGGAAGGACAGCTGTCCTTCCCAGCTCTGGTTCTGTGATTTCCACCTCAGAAACTGTAAGGTCTGTGATTGGGATGTGGGCATCCTCCTCCCCAGAGGCCAGTGGACAGCAATAAAGCAAAAAACCAGAGCCTTCTCATGCTTCCTGGAGCCCTCAGAGAGTCAGTCTGTTTCCCACAAGCTTTTCTCCAAGCCCTGGTGCCCTTTCAGATGTCATGTGGCACCCCGCAGCTAAGAAGGGTCAGGCCTCCATATTGCTCTTTTTCTAGAACAATTAGGGTACCTGTAGCCAAATAATTTTTTTCTAACGTTAAATAGCATCTCATAAAAAGGAATCCCAAGCTGGTAAGATGAGGAGCCAGGTGAAGGCATTTGCCCCCAATCCTGACAACCTAAGTTCAGTTTCCAGAATCTCCATGGCAGAAGGCGGGAAGTTGTTCCCAAGTGTGCCCGCACATGCACCCCACACATACACACACACACACACACACACACACACACACACACACACACACACACACACACAATGCATCAACAAAGACACAAAAGTCTAAAAGCAAGCCAGTTCCTGACCTGATGAATCTGCCACCTAAAAATGATTCACTCACTGTGGAATCAGCCTACTTGTCCATCAGCAGATTCATGAAAAGAAAAAAACGTGGTCCATACACACCATGGAGGTTCATTCAGCCACCGAGAAGAAAGAACTTGTGTCATTTGCAGGAAAACTGAAGGAACTGGAGATCACCATAGAAAGGGAAATAAGCTGGGCGGTGGTGGCACACGCCTTTAATCCCAGCACTCGGGAGGCAGAGGCAGGTGGATCTCTGTGAGTTCGAGGCCAGCCTGGACTGCCAAGTGAGTTCCAGGAAAGGCGCAAAGCTACACAGAGAAACCCTGTCTCGAAGAAAAAAAAAAAAAAAAAAAAAAAGAAAGGGAAATAAACCAGACTCAGAAGGACAAATGTCAAGTGTCCCCCCAATTGCTGAGCCTAGATTTCATGTGGATGCATAAAGCCACTTATATATTATATTTTTCAACTCTCCTTCCACACTGCCATACTCAATGCTTAGTCTCATCTTCAGGCTTGTCCCCTCTTAGTCACAAAATAACAGCCCTGCGCCAGATGCAGTAGTGACCAGGCTTAGTGGGAGAGGGGATGCTTTCCTAATGACCCATTTGCGTTACTACTCAGATATGCAAACGTATGTAAATGAAGGTAGAATGGTATGAGTCTTTTCTCCTTATCGGGCTCTAATGGCCAGTATTCCATCAGTTCTAGCCCTCCCTCCACACCCAGGTCATTTAAAGCAAACCCCACACATCATCCCTCATTCAGCCTCCATAGCTGGCAGACACGGCCTCTAGCTCCTTTAAAAACAGAATCAGGGCTGGGGAATGGCTCACCCAGGAAGATGCCTGCCACACAGGCATAAGAACCTGAGTTTGATCTCCACACCCATGTGAACAGGCTGGGCGCAGTAGTGATTGCTTGTAAATCTCTTTGTACTTCCAAGGTTGAAGAAGCAGAGACCGGAAGTTCCCTGAATAGCTAACCTAGCCCAATCAGCAAGCACCAGTGAGAGATTCTACCTCGAAAATCAAGGTGAACGGCTCTTCATGCACGACACCAGAGGTTGACTTCTGGCCTCCAAGTGGCCACACAGGAGCACATATACACACAACTAAAAATTTCAAAACACGATCGCAAAACAAAACACCATGTATTTGGCAACACCGAAATAACGCCTTAAAAATCGTTGTTCACAGGGCTGGAGAGATGGCTCAGAGGTTAAGAGCACTGACTGCTCTTCCAGAGGTCCTGAGTTCAATTCCCAGCAACCACATGGTGGCTCGAAACCATCTGTAATAAGATCTGGTGCCCTCTTCTGGCCTGCAGTCATACATGCTGTATACATAATAAATAAATAAATCTTTAAAAAAAAAAAATCGTTGTTCACACTTTGCAAGCCAGAACAAAAAAGTCCACTTGTCTTGATTTGCAGTGTAGAGGCCGAACCCAGGGCCTCATGAATGCTGGGCGAGTGTTCATACCAGAAGCTGTAGCCTCAGTCCTTGACCCAAAGTATTGTTTTCTTTTGTTTTGCTTGAGGTAGGGTCTTACGTAGCCCAGGCTAGCCTTGAACTCCTTATTTGGCCAAGGATGACTTTTTGAACTTCTGATCCTGCTTCCATCTCCCAAATACTGGGATTATAGGAGTGTACCACCACCATGGTCATTTTATGAGGTGCGTGACGTGGAACCCAGAGCTTTGTGGAGATGAGACTAGAAAATGTCACCTGCTGTCGAGAAAGGACAGAGGCCAGGCACGGCGCCAGACACATTTAATGTCAGTGTTTGGGGATCAGAGGCAGGCTGGTCTCTGTGAGTTCAAGGCCAGGAACTTGCTCTAGAGACTAGGCTGGCCAGGGCCACAGAGTGAGATCTTGTCAAAAATAAATAGATAGATAGATAGATAGATAGATAGATAGATAGATAGATAGATAGATTTTTAAAAGAAGAAAAGAGAGAGAATGGGGGCCAGAAAACGGGGTCCCACTAGCCGTCAGTCCAGAAGCTCTGTGAGAACCAGGGAGCAGAAGCCATCAGCTGGAATGACACTGGGGTCTCGGTATCGCCTTCAGTCTTAGAAACTGAAAGCCCTGAATGACTGAGAGGTGGTAACCATTCAAGGGGCAACCACTCGGGGGCAGTCTGGCTGGAGGTGACATTCGGTCATTTCCAGGATGAACTGCCCTGTCAAGCTGAGTCACACAGATACCTGGAAATTTTTGCTTTCAAATTTGGTTAGCGCTTTCACAAACCTCATCTCAAACGTCAGAGGTCCCAAGCTGTCATCTGTGAGTGCTTTAAGAAGCAAGCACCTCTACCCAACATCCCGCCATTTTAGAGGACAGGAATGTTTAGTGAGCACCTACTATGTGCCTGGCACCTTGTAAAGTACTGTCCCCAGTAGACATTAGTCCTTCCCACTCTGCTTCCTGTTTACACAGTAGGAACACGGTTCTAATGACTTGAATGTTCACCTGCTTGGGACCTAGCAAGAGGCAGATAGCCTTATTTTTTGTATATGATACAAACATTTTTCCCACAAGGAAAAGTCCTGCTGGGCATGAGGAGGCTGCGTACCAGTCAAAGCTGCTTCTAAGCAGTTAGGTAGTGTTGGGCTGTCCTTCCAGCCTCTGCATCCCAGCTTCACTGGGGACACCAGGGGGTGAGTAAGGCCACCTCTACAGTGGTGAGGTCATGCTCTCGGTCATGCTCATTCTCATCATGTCATCTGAGTCACGATGCAGTGTCCGGGCCTTCCTTCCGCCTGGGGTGCCTTTTCCCATGGCTAGGGTCCTCTTTCATAGGCTTCACTTCCTAGGAAGTCCTCCCAGGAACAGACCACCCCCACTCCCCCCACAGCATGCCATTCCATGCTCCTCCAAAACCGCTAGCTCGAGCGTCTTGTACTGATTTTTTTTTTCTTTCTTTCCTACGAGTATGGGTGTTTTGTCTGCGTGTGCGTCTGCACACCACATGTGATGTCTGCTCAGGGTAGAAGAGGGCATTGGATCTCCTGAGACTAGAATTACAGTCATTTGTAAGCCACCATGTGGGTGCTGGGACTCGAACCTGAGTCCTCTGGAAAACCAACTAGTGCTCTTAACACCTGAGCCATCACTCCAGTCCCTCCTTGTACTAAACGCAAACCACGGTCTCATTTCACCTCTGTGTCCTACGCTTGAGGCTGAACCCTGACAGAGGCTTTCCGAACGTTTAGTGTGTCTGGGCGATTGCTACATTGTTTCTTAAGCCCAAGGACGATTGCTACATTGTTTCTTAAGCCCACGGAACGTTAAGAGATTCCTATTACAGTCTGGAGAGACATACACTTCTTGTTGAAGCCTTCTTGGTTTGACTGTTTTTGAGACAGTGTGTCTCCCAGCGTGGTGGTCGGGGTCGGTGGTGAGTTTAAGATCTTGCTAGCTCAGCCTAGGATTTCAGACTTGTAGAACACACCTAGCTTAAAGAACTTCTTGTACTTTTCTTCCCTCTTCCCTTCTTTTCTAGGCTGGCTTGTAGACTCCTGGGCATCAGAGATCCTCCTGCCTCAGCTTCCTGGGAAGCGGGAACTACAGGCAGAGCCCCACACCCACCTCTCTCACACGTTTCTGTTCTGTTTTATTGCTGTCGTTGCATCGATATATGCTTCTTTTTTTTTTTTTGTTTTGTTTTGTTTTGTTTTGTTTTTTCGAGACAGGGTTTCTCTGTGTAGCTTTGCGCCTTTCCTGGAACTCACTTGGTAGCCCAGGCTGGCCTCGAACTCACAGAGATCCGCCTGGCTCTGCCTCCCAAGTGCTGGGATTAAAGGCGTGCGCCACCACCGCCCGGCCGATATATGCTTCTTTAATCCATTTTTTTGTAACCTTTAGCCATGCAGAAAGAACCCAGAGCTTTGCACACACTAGGCAAGCCCTGTGTGTCCCCAGGCCGCTCCCTCTCTTATACATTATCTTTATTATGATTTCACAGTTCTTTATGTTTGGGAGGGGTGTCAGAGTACATCCCTAGAGGGCAGCTTGTGGAAGTCAGTTCTCTCCTTTCCCACTGTGGGTCCTGGAGACTGAACTCAGGTTTTCAGTCTTAGCAGCAAGCTCCTTTGCTCACTGAGCCATCTCACCACCCCATCTCCTATACATTTCTTCAGGACAAAGCCTGTTCTTTGCTCACATTTAATTTCATCGGGTCTTGGCACACAAGAGGTTCTCGGCAAACATGTATCACATCAGACAATATTGAGGTCTCCCACCACCCCACCTCAGCTGACCTCCTCACTGAGAGAGCAGGCTCTCCAGGGGGCTGGGGAACTCCCAGAGAGTTAGAACTCACTGCCACATGGGTGTGGAAATTAATTAGATTAGGACAGACAACATCTCCATGTGTGCTAGGGTGGGGCCCTGCAGGCCGGGCCTGTAGCAGGGCTACCCAACAGTATGTCCGAGAAAGCCACCATCATCACTGCTGGTGGCCCCAGACTTGAGGACAAAAGGTCCCCAGGAGAGAAGTGTGCTATGACTTAAATGCAAAGTGTCCTTTGCAGGTTCCCATGTTTGAACATTTGGTCCCCAGCTGGTGACATTGTTTGGGGAAGTTATAGAACCTTTAAGGAGTTGGAGTCTGGGTGCAGAAAGAGGATCCCTAGGGGGCTAACAATGAGGTCTGTAGCCCTGCTCGCTGCCTGTCATGTCCCCAAAGATGTGAGTGAGGAACCTCAACTTCCTGTTACCTCAGCCTGGAGCTTTGTCCTCCTCCAGACCTTCCCTGATAATGATGAACACGGTCCTCGAACTATGAGCCAGTAAAGCCTTCCTCCTGGGGGTCACTTCTTAGTAGGCATTTGTCATAGCAACAAGAACACTAATCCACAGCAGTATAACAATGACAATATTTGTTGGGGGTAAAGGCTGTCACTGGGAGCAGCTGGGAGACAGAGGCAGGAGAAGTGATAGTTCAGGCTATACTGGGCTTTTAACAAGAGACTATCTCAAAAAAAAAAAAAAGAGGGAAGGAAGAAAGAAAGTAAATGTATTATTTATTCATCATTTGTTTGTTTTTCTTAAAAGAGGCCACTCCGCACAGACCAGCACCTAGCAGGCAGGACCTGCTGTGTGTGAGTCAGCCAAGGATAACTTGTCCGATGTTGGGTTAAAAATTAGGTTGCTGACTTTTCCATGTGACCCTGGTGGCGATGATGGTGTCCTCATTTCCGAAACAAGGCCACCTGAGGTCCGGAGAAGCTTTCCTACTCGATGGAAGGGCACCCAGCTAGCTGGGACTTGGAGGCAGCTCTCCAGACTCCAAAGACCGCTGTTTTCCTGCTCTTGTCAAATTTGCGAGCGTTCAACCTGTCATTCCTCACCCACCTGTGAGCTTCTCCACCCTGCAGGGAGAGAAGTTTATTTCTAGAGCGCATGCTCTACCACCATACCTGATCTTGGCCACCCTGCAGTTGGATTTCAGGGAATACCGTGGGCCGCTGGCAAAGTCAGAAGTGGGCCCTGCAGCCAGCTTGGAAGGTGAGTGAGGCCATCAGCCTCCAGGGAAGAGTCTTGAGAACACAGGGTAAGTGCTCCGTCATCTTCCCTGACAGCTGACGGGACACCCTGAGCAGCCACTATTAGTCACCCGCAGGCCACTGGTGCTGTTTCTTTTTCGTCAGTCCCGGCAGCTGAACCCAGCTGGGCCCTCCAGCAGCCCCAGGGTTTGGCTCCCAGGCCATCAGGGCTGTTTTTTGGCAAGATCTCCAGCTCAATTAGCCAAGTCAGCACTGGGAAGCTGGGAGGTGGTAGGGTGGGAACCGGGTCAGAAGTTCCTCCCAGGGCCCCTGACTCAGTCACCAGCTGGCTACTTTAGGGCCAGTAGAGCTGAGCTTCTCTGCCTTAGGTGGGGCTCTGCACAGAGCCATGGAAAGAGGAGGTCTCCAGAGAGCAAAGGGCACCGAGAATTAAAGTACTGTGTGAAGAACCAAATCCGGATGGAGCTAAAAATGACCTCCAGATTGTATGTTACAAGATGCAAAGCCAGCACCCCAGAGCTATGCCGTCCTACAGCCCAGCTGCCAAGAGGAGCTTCCTCTGGCTCAGAAGAGCTGACCTCAACTGAGTTTTCCAAAATAAATGGGTAAGAAGTCCAGCCCCACTGTCCAGAGAGCCGCTAGAGATGTGTCCTCCTTGGAGGCCGAGGGCCCTATGACCTCACCCCGCATACTGACCAGGCAAGGAAAGAGGATTCACACATTCCATTCCAGGAGGACTGGCTTTTGGAGTGAAAGGCGCATGTTACCAGTCTTTCAAAAACCCAAACCTAAGAGCCAGTTTGGATTTAGGGTCTGAGGAAGAAATGTCAGTAATTGAGGCCTGGTGGCCGATCTGTGGGGGGGTTTCAGCAGCCCTCTGACCCCCTGGGCTCAGTTTGGACCGTCCTGAGCTCTCCATCGGCTCTTCTGTTCGCTGCTAAGTTAGGCAAACTCCCGCACTGACTCGAGGGAAGAACCTGCTACTCTTCAAATGACTGTAAACTTATTTCCAACATTGTCCCTTTTGTTTCAGCTAAAAAAACTCTTTGGAAAAACTTACAAGGAACGTCTAAGGTCACTGCGTCACTATGACTCATTCTCCTTAGGCAACCTGAAATAAACTTGGCTTAGTCCAATACTGAACTGAGCATGCCCAGTAGCATTCATATCTGCCATATTTCCTTTTTGAACACATGGTCTAGGACTTGCAACCCAGCATGCTCAGGAATGTGTCAGCCATCCTTCCTGTTGGACCATGGATCTCCAGGGCTTTAAACTGAGCATGCTCAGAAGTATGCCTGCCCCTGCGTTAGCTTTCTTATATGGATCTGTATAGAATTTCTGGTGTTTCCTCTTTTCCCCCAGAGGACATTGCTCTGTAAATAACTCAGGGCACTCCTTACTTGCTGCGAGTGATAAACCTATCCTCAGTCTTTTAGCTCCTGAATGAGATTTCCAGCTTTGCACTCACTAAGACATAAGCCTACTGTGGTCACTTCCATGGCCCTTGGGTCTGTTTGCAAGAGGGTAAAGAGCAGATAAAGTGGCTATGTGTGGTGGTTCATTCCTTTAATCCCAGCACTCAGGAGGCTGAGGCAGGTGGATCTCTGAAAATTCCAAGTTAGCCAGAGCTACATAATGAGGCCCCATATTTTTTTTTTTTTTTTTTTTTTTTTTTTTTTTTTTTTTTGGTTTTTCGAGACAGGGTTTCTCTGTGTAGCTTTGCGCCTTTCCTGGAACTTGCTTTGGAGACCAGGCTGGCCTCGAACTCACAGAGATCCGCCTGGCTCTGCCTCCCGAGTGCTGGGATTAAAGGCGTGTGCCACCACCGCCCGGCTGAGGCCCCATCTTTAAAAAGGGGGTGGTGGTGTTGGAGTGACATTTGAGCAGGTGGTTTCCATGCCAGCTCCTGCTGACAGCTTCATTAGCAGGGAGGGACCCTTATTCCTAACTTCTCACAACTGACCAACTGTGCTTCCTTTTCCCATCATCCCCCCAAGGAGACTTTAGATGCCTGGGTCTTCCTTAAGGCAAATGGGAATCACAAGCAGTGGCTGAACAGGGGTGGGTCTGAGCACAGAGGGGTCTGTGTGACGGGCTGTGACAGACACAGGAGGGCTGCTCAGGACTGCTGTGGAATAATCCTTCTGTACACTGTGTGAATTATGTCGATACGGTTGGTTTAACAAACAAGCTGACGGGCCGATTGTCGAACAGGATAATGTTAATCGGGAAAACCAAACAGAGAATGATGGGGTGAGGAAGGACGGAGTCAGAGAGTCACCTGCAGACGCCTACATACGGCGTTCCAATATGTGGCCAAAATTCCCACATAAAACCTGACAAAGATTAAAAAAGGATCCTAGACACACAAAAATGGAATCAAGCACAGCTTCTTGGAAGCTGCATTTTCTTGGGTGGGCTCTGTTTGCTGGTGGGGAGCAGAGGTGTAGCTTCCTGGCTCCGTGCTATCAACAAAAATGGGCGGCTCTTTTAAGAGGCCCTGCTGCCAAACACTTACATGGTATTTATGTACAACAGGTGGCATGATACTCAGTGGCAGCATGGACCCAGAAACTCCCCAGAGTTGGGGCGGTAAACATGGCTCCCAGAGCTGGCAGTAAATGTACCTCCGTCATAGGACTAGCCTCTTAGGGACCAAGGAGGAGGATCCAGCCACCAACATGCCATGATTTAAGTTACACAGTAGGGTTGGTTTTTTTTTTTTTTTTTTTTTTGCTCATGCAGGCAGAAAAGCTTACAGATACACAGTATGAACAGATTCAGACAAAAAAAGAGCCTCTCAACGGGTCACAGTGTGTTTGAAAATATACATAGGTGTGAGAGAGAAGAGAAAGAGTATATACAGTTTTAGATTTAAAAACATAGTTTTAAAATAATAAAATAAAATCCTTAAAGTAAAGTAATATAAAAAGAAATAAACTGCATAAAGATGGGAAATACACAGAGAGTCTGGATCCTGTATGTTATTGTGTTGTCTTTGAATTGTTTTTGGCTGCTAAGAGACATTGGATTACTGAAACTGCTGGATTAAACCAACCTATACGTTTTAAAAACATCTTAACTTCAAAATTTAAGTCAAAAGATATGCTACTCTGGGGGAGAGGTAATGCTTTTGTTTCTACAGGAAATGAGAGGCTATAGATTCATTCTGGGTTAAGGAAAAGCAGGAATGTCGATAGAGCACCTCACATCGTGACAGGCAGAATAAGGCTGTATCCTAACATGCTGGCTGTGCTCCTACAGTTGTATGTCTGCCAGCTAGGGCCTGTGTCCAGTAGTTTCAGCAGCCTCTTGCAACAATGCCACCAGCTAGGGACGAAGGGTTCAAACACATGAGCTTATGGAGATTTTACATTTACTCCATGACCTTCTGTACCTGGTTTCCACATGCTTTGTCTTAAACTGGCTCTACCTACTGCTTTCTTTGGCAGATGTACCACATCCTATAATATCCTGGTGTGGTGGTTTGAAAGAAAATGGCCCCCAAAGGGAGTGGCACTATTAGGAGGTGCGGCCTTGTTGGAGTGAGTGTGGTCTTGTTGGAGGAAGTGTATTACTGTGGGGATGGGATTTGAGGTCTCATATATGCTCAGGATACTATCCAGTGTCTCACACTACTTCCTCTTCCCTGCAAGATGTAGAACTCTCAGCTCCTTCTCCAACACCATGTCTGCCTGCACACCACCATGTCCCACCATGATGATAACGAACTGAACCTCTGAAACTGTAAGCGGCCACCACAATTAAATGTTTTCCTTTACAAGAGTTTCCATGGTCATGGTGTCTCTCCACAGCAATAGAAACCCTAACTAAAACAGCTCGATTGCAACTCAGGCTTCCTGTTCAGTTTTACACGTATCCTACTTATGAGATCCATGCAAGAAATCTGAGCACACTACCCATTACCCAGCCTTACTAGCATTCTGGAATCCTGGTGCAAGCCTCCATGACCCTGTAACTCTGTGTTCTACATGCCTAAAAAGCAAGTACCCTTTGAATGATAGCATGTTCTGTTATCAGTCAAGATGTAGCCTAGTGGTCCTCTGGGTGCCCTTCCAGCTGAACCAGGAAAATGCTGCCCTCATACTGTTATTTTACTGCCCTCATACTGGGATTTTACTGTTTCTATTGTCTTAGTTCCAAGTTTAAACTTGGTTCAGAGGCTGACTGCTTCACCCTTGGGTTCTCATAAATATTTCTTAATTTTCATAAGCTCCAATGTATCTATTTTCCCTTTATATGAAAATCTTTTTAAATATTCCATTTCAGGGCCTGGAGAGATGGCTCAGCACCTGAAGGTGTTTTCTGCTCTTGCAGAGGACTGGAGTTTGGTTTCCAACCCATGTGAGAGAGCTCACAACTGCCTGTGACTCCAACTCCAGGAGCTCTGATACCCTCTTCTGGCCTCCACAGGCAGCCTTCATGTGCTTGCGTGCGTGCGTGCATGTGTGCGTGCGTGCATGCACATGTAAGAGAGACAGAGACAGAGAGACATCAAGGACCTAATGAAAAGA